TTCAGGTTGAACGCGAACCCATTAAAAAAAAAAAAAAAAAAAAAAAGGCAATTCGAAAAAATATGAAACAAAGATATGTTATGAAGAAAAATAAAATAACCACTATTTGCCTGATCAATACACGCAAATTCCTTACCAGATTTGAAAAAAAAAAAATACAAAAAATAAAACTAATAATAATAAATAAATAAAAAATTAAAATTAGTGAGTGAACGAGCTCGTTTTCGACACTGTCATCTTTGGCGATTTTTCATTTTTCTTTGGCAAAGCCAAATGCCCTAAAAATTTACAGATGTCTACCTCACATAATACAAAACTCGATAAAAAAGTTTCAAAAAATAATAAAATTTTTGAGACCCCGCAATGAGTGGGCGAGCACGTTTTGACACCGCCATCTTTGGCGATTTTTAGTTTTTGTTTGGCTTAGCAAAATGATTTCAAAATTTATAGGCATGTACCTCACATTAGAGAGAACTCGCAAAAAACAATTCAGGAAGAAAAACTTATTTTTAGTCCCCGAAATAAGTTTTGGCGGGGGCCGAACGCCCGTACATACGGAGGTCGGCCCGGGGACCTCTGTATGTACGGGCTGGTGGCCTTGTACAGTTTCTTACAGCCCTCAATTGTGTTTATGCCTCCAACGAGGTAACATGTGGGGCTTGCACCCAACTGCAAGTGGGTGATACCAGTCAGGGGTCAACTGCTAGCTTCAAGAACCATGTCAACTGGGCCAATTTCTGCACCTTGTCTCTGGTCCCCTTCCCCTACAAACATCAATAAGATTGTTTGTGACTAATTGTAGCAACATTCATCAAAGCATCCATACGTTCCCATACACGTGCGCTGTCGAGTGCATCGGTCCCACACGGGAACCCTCCCGACTGCGTCATGCAGAATTTTGGCATTCGAGATGCAAAGTGTTCGGAGCAGTGTCGCTGGTGCTGAGTGCACCAACAATACCGCTAAGAAGTTTCTATGATATGATAGGACCCCACGAGGTACTTTTTGACCTTCACCCGTAGCAGCAGTCACCATCCCTGGGTGGGCGTATCCCTACCAAGCTATTGATCCACATCCAAGAGCTTTGACATGAAGTTGGAGCGGTAGACCAGCCAAGGGCGTTTCTCATTCGCTGTAGCATAGGGGGTGTGCACGATTAGGCTTGAATTGATTCTGCACGCGAACCGTCATGTGGGGCGCTGATCTCCCACGAGCGGCCTTGTGTCGATCAACTAGGACACCAAACTAACCACGCAACCTACCGAAAAACATCTCAACCCAAAACATAAACGTGTGTCTAGTCCCTTTCCCTACATTCAAACCCATAACTTGTAGCATGCACGAGAGAACCGACAAGGCTCGTGCAAAAACTTATAAGACAAGTGGGAACACAAGCAAAACCACAATGCTTAATCATGCATGGTCACACGATCTGTCGCTATAGCGACGTTTTGTGCGATACTCGCAATCGTGCGACATATCATGGGTCTCGAGGTCGTGCATGACACTTTAGTGTCGACAGGTGTTTAACTTAGCGACATAGAACGACTGAGGAACAAGTCGTTCGGCCTTCGCGGCGACTATAGCCTTTAGGCAGAGCGTAGCGGTAGGGAAGGGCCGGATATCTGAGACATGGGGGTGACCCTCTGTGCTGGACAAGGACCTTGAGTCCGGTCCAGGACCTAACGTCTGACAAGACAAGTAAACAAGCAGAAGCCTGGCACTCCCCTTGAGACCTAAGATAGACATAGATAGAATGGGTATAGCGAAGTAGAAGATAGACATCAGGAGTTACTCTGAACTCCAACCAAACCTGAGCACCAGCACCCCCCTCCACCATCACTATCTGCACCACCGCCCACTCGAATTAACTCAGTTGGAGGAGTGCCAGCTGGACAGACACCCAGGATGGACAGCGCCAGTGCCAGGAAGGAGAAGAAGTAACCTCCAGCTTGAAGACGAAGAAACAGCTGCCTAGAAGATGAAGATATGGCAGCACCTAACCCAAACAGCACATATATGGTGCCACCAGGCATAGCGCCTGAAGCACGTGCTTCAGTGCTGGCTCTGAAGGTCAGCAGTCGCCTCCTGCTATGGCTCTGCTCCAGTAGCCTGGCGGCATAAACAAAGATCTCCAAGCAGCGTTATCACCAGCTGCCGACCAACAGGTCAAAGACCCGACTGCCCTAAAGACCTAGACTACTATGGGCTGACTCCACGCATAGTTCTACTGGACTGACTCCTAGGACCTAAAACACAGCTGATAGTCGTGGGCTTCACCTTTCCAGTTACGAAGGGACACTGTCAAGACCAATCCGGGCCTGTCCTTTCTCGTAGTGAAGAGTCACTAGTCCTTTCAGTTAACGAGAATTCACCGGGCCTTTGCAGTCACAGAAGGTCACCAATCCTCTACAGTCCCAGAGGGTCAGTTTAGGTATGGACAGGGTACAGGAACAGTAGTACTGGTTCTGTATTTATTTTTTTGGAAATTTATAGAAAAGTCCCTGTTCGGTTCTTGCCTGTTATAAGTTCCGGTTAGGACCCAGAAGTCAAAGAAATTACAAAAATTATCCTGGCAAAAGTTACAGCCCGTAGAGAAACTGCAAGTTCATTGTATTCCCACCCTTCCGGGGAGTGAGGAACCCCAAGGTAGTGGTGGCCACGAGGAGAACGGCGGGGCAACAGCCCTGTCTGTTTTGCGTCACGCGCCAGTACAATGGACTTGGCATCTTGAGAAGTTCTTTCCTTGGGAACCACCAATCCCCGATCTTCAGTATGTGGTTGGAAAAGGAACGTCACAGGGTCCTCACAGTTGGGGTCTGTGCTTCACTGGTTCTCGATGCTCTCGACGTAGGGCTGAATTGAGGAGGCCTGTCTGGAAATGCATCGGAGAACGTGAAGGGCAGCAACTTTGCTCCGCTGCCGCCTGTACGTAGGCGGTATCCGGGCCACCTTCCTATCCACATACCGCCAGGTGCTCCAGCAGCATGACGCCCAAACTTGCACACCGCAAATGAGGAGGAGCCTAGCGCTCTCCTCCAAGATATAGCGGCCAACTTGCCTCTTGGGTGGTAACTTCCAGGCCGCGCGGTCTCCCTAGCAACTGGTACCTCCTCCCTTTTGGAGAGAAACATCATTGCAGGTCTGATATCGTCCGTTACAGGCCCTAGACTCAGACTTCAGGACTGGTACCCTAGGCCTAGGCCTACCGGACTCTAAAATTCACACGGCCTCGGAAGGTACTAACTTTTTGTCTTCTTCTGCTCCCCCTACCGCTACTCAAATACTACCCTAAGCTACGCGGGCCTACACTATCGCTACTAGCCTAGGCGACTTGAGTGTTTCCCCGCTCCAACCCTCAAAAGTCACGGCCACAGGTAAGTACCGGCCACGAGGGCATCCCAAACAAACAATTACCCTGGCGGGTCACACACAGACTCAGGCAGACATGCACTCAGAAAGGCACACGAAAACCAGCAAGCACACACACACACGGACTTAGAAATCTCAGGAGAAAGCGGGAATCTCAGAACAACACACATTCCAGCGGCAAAACTCAGAAATCAGCAGGCTCCTCAGTCTGTGTTTTGGCAGGTCATTACAAGTATTTCGAGAAAATAACTGTACAACCTTCTGCTGCCTTTATTTTATTTGAAATTGGATAATGTATCAAGGTACAAATCCATGTAGAAAATTGTAAAGAGAAAAACAGTTTGCTGGTGGAGAAAGATGAGGACCACCCGATGTAGAAACAGGAAATCAATCGCAAAACTCGATAGAAACAGTACTGAAAAAAAAAAGACTGTGGAGAGGAGAAGGTTAAGGTTGAGCTAAATGAACCCTGAGATCAAACTTGGAAATAAGAAAAACGGGTTCCGTCGCTTTCTATCTGAATTTTTTTTTTTGTGAACTCTTCAGCTTCTATTTTCAAAACCAAACTGAATCGGAATTGATGCCTGGGGCGAGGTCCCGCTAGGAAAGGGGATTGCATTAGTCGCCCAAAACTGGGCGTGTTTTATGCAGACATGCAGAAAAGAAGATCGATCGCTTCTGCACCTCTTCACAAACATGTCCAGATTCAGGCATTAAATCCAATCCTAGCCTTTTGTGGGACCTCGCCAGTGGTATGAAAGAATGATTGCCAACCAGGATGTTGCTTGCGTACAATTTAATGGAACCAGAACTGTTTGGATGCTTCCCATATACAATCATACAAAACATTGAAAATACCGGGGCCATTTCGGCTGAGAACAATTTAGGAATCCAGAATTAAGAAATTATTCAAATTAATAGAATCGGAGATAGCTAGTAGCTACTGAATGCATAATTCCACAGAATTCCTAGTAAAACTAAGGTCGGTTCTAAGAAATTCCGAAACTTCCTGAAAGACTGGAAGGAATTCAACTTCAAAGCTACCCACCTTCTGTCTCCATGACACAGAGGGGAAAAGAGAGGACAGCACCTCTCCGCGGTGATGAGAAACAAAATTGCCCCCATTCTTACCAAAGAAACCCCTCCCTCCTGTCCTTGAACTGGCCCCGTCAAGAGGAGCCCCCTTCTCCTCATTTACCCCAGCTCAGGAGAAGTATATTAGCGGACCCCAACTTCCTCAAGAACAAGCAGTTCCAACCAAAAGCTTGTCCCCACAGAAACCCCAACCCCGGTTGAAAAGTAAAGGAAGAGGATGATGGATGACAACACCCGTCAAATAGCTTAGCTTTAATGTCCTTCACATCACTTCCTCTCGTTGTCCAGCAGTGTGTCTTGAGTGTAGTTCCTGGCTTTGTCATGCCTTTCTTCGACAACACAGTGTCACAACCTCTGTTTCTTGTCCTTTCTCCCTTTCTGCCTCTGGCTCACTGGGCAGTTCTTTGTGCCTATATATTGTATACAATATGTCACGGGGAGTGCTGCTGAAAAGTTTTGAAGATAGAGATTGTGAAAAGAGGAAGGTTGATCATGACAGTGTTCAACTGACTCTTCTGATCTGGCTAATGCAGGTTGGGCATGATAGAGACGGACTACCAATTGGAATCCAAATCATCGGCCGCCCGTGGGCAGAAGCAACCCTGCTCCAAGTAGCGGCAGCTCTCGAGGTAAATGTCCTCTCAGCAATCATATTTCACTATCCCTCTTGTGGGAGGCTAGCTGGGAGCAGGTAGGGAAAAGGGGGATTGAGAAAGGGATTATTTTTAGCACCTTTTGTTCTTATCCACTGTACAACAGGGTTGCCAACTTTGCACCAAATGTCTGCCCATCTTAGACCCCTCTTAAACCCCTCTTAAACCACCAGCACTTCCAACAGGCTTTTGGTTTCGGATGAACAGCAGGGACGGGGGATGGGGAAGGAGGGGGAGAAATGGAGGGGGAGAAACGGAGGGGAAACGTGGAGGACGAGAGGGGGAAGAGGGAAGAGTGAAAAGGGGAAGGAGGAGGAGAGAAACTCCGAGAAAGGGTATTATTTTCAGCTGGTTGACCATGGATAATGCCTGCATCTCTTAAACGTGGGTTTACACCACCTCTACCTTTTACGACTGCCCTCATTACTAGGCGGCTGACACTTTTCTGAGTTGGTCCATCGTTAAGGGTATGATGATGACAGATTATTCTTCTGGGTCTGTGGGAGTTGGGCGCTTAAAGTTTAGCCCTCTACTATCTTCTGTGAAAAGTCGTGCATGACCCCTGCGGAGGTCACCAAAAGCTGTGGTGCCTGCATTGTCCATCTGATGCACGTCGTGCAAAAATGGAGAGTTGGAGACCCTTGTGGCCCTGGTTACCAGGCAGCCGGCACTTATGTGAGTTGTTCCGTTGTTTTAAGGGTCTGACGGTGGCAGATTTTTCTTCTGAGCCTGCAGGAATGGACCCTTTTTCAGGACCCAGTGGGCGCTTAAAGTTTAACCCTCAACTATGTTACATCTTCGATGCCACACGGGTCCTACCGGACCCGACTTAGGGCCGGAGGGACACACCAGGGCCTAAAGGCCCGACCTTGAGGGTCACAGGCCCTAAAGGCCTGATTTTGCACTCAGCCCAGTGGGTAGGCCCAAACGACAGTTTGTTTGGGCCTGGCG